TATAAGATCTATATTAATTCAAGATCAAAACATTTATTACAACTAAAATCCTCAAAATACATAAAAGCTAGGTTTAGGAAGCAAGCCTAGGGGCTATCTCTATCCCCAAGTGAAGGATTTAGCCACTTATTGTAGTGGTCATGGAACCCTCAAGGGCTAGCTTAGAGGTTGACATCATCATCTTCATCATCCTTGCTTTCTTCCCAAAACCCTAGTTTTATAGAGGAATAAATTTTCTATAATTGGTCATATCTCTATATCTTGATATGACACAATATGGTTCAATAAATCAATTACATACTCCTTTGAGCAAGGACCAAGTCAGAATTACAGCCTATGATTAGAGGAAATTCGCAGCTACACAAGTTAGGTAGAAATCGGCGCGCTCGAGAATTAGATAGCTCACTGCCAGCAGCATTTTCGATCGATCTAACACTTAGCTTCGATCGATCGAAGCTGACATGGTATCAAAATATCTTCCAGGCCTTATCCAATTGGCTGAGCTAGCACTGCCTCATCTTAATCAATTGCAGAACTCTTCGATTGATCGAGATTCCCATCGATTGATCGAAGCTCCTCTGGTGCATTTTTTTTTACTTCTTTCCAACTTTGCTCCTAATCTCTAAAATTGGGCTAAATAGCTCTTGTTAGCCTGTTTGAACTTTATTAACCTAAAATAGGCAATAACACAAATAAGTATCTAAGACATGAAAGTAAGATAGATAAATGGACTAAAATACCTTAACTTATGTGTTAAAATGCGTCACATTTGAGTACTTATCACAGGGTTAAAAGTGAAATGAAGTGATGTGTATGTATATATATATGTGTGTGGATATAATGAACATGAATGAATTAAATCTGTTGTGATGATTTTAATTGTTGATTATGCTAGTTTGCGCTTTAAATTCATGTTATAGAACATCCTAAAACTAATTAGAATTGTTGTTAATGAATCGGAGGTAAAACGGACGAATTTCAAAGGCTGGAACCCTGTTATTGTGAACTAGTACTGAGTGTTGTGATTTGCACTCGAGCCCTGGGCAACGCTCGAGGTAGTGCTCGAGTGCTGTGATTTGCACTCAAGCCCTGGAACTGGATGTTCATTAAAAAACTTTCCCAAATGACCCCGAAACTGATTCGAGAGGTCCCAAACATATCCTCAAGCTTCGGGAACAGTGCCATAAGCTTTAAATACATGAAATTGTATTATATTCTTCGAGATTGGATGGAAAAGCTTTTAATCAACTAATAAGTTGTGAATTGATCTTTTATGATATTTAAATTGTGTAATTAAATGCATAAACCTGATTTATGATTATAATCATATATGCTGGTGTACTTATGATCTACAAACATGATTTATGAATTTACTTACATGTTGTACCATTATTAGATACGTTAGATGCAATTTAAGGTTATATGTGATGGAGTGTGTGGGCTGAATAATAACATAGTCTCATTTATACCTTGACTTAGTTAAGTAGTCTTGGTATGTGGTTAATTAGAGGCATGGTCGAATTGCTAAAAGAATAAAAAGATTACAATTTTATTTGTATGAACAAAATACATACATTAAACGCATGGATGAATTGTTATTCTTTAGTACAAACAAAAACATACTCATGGAGGCATGATAGAGTTCTAAAGACATTTTAGTTGTAATTCAGAGAAATACAGTCCTAGACTTGAATGATTTATTGTTTGTGATTAATTAGCCTTTTCATTTAATTTATGGTAGGAAGGAAATACTTTTAAGAGATGATGGTTTTTCTAATGTCATGTTGGATACATATAATTATATTATAGTTTGGGATATAAAGGATTTATCTAATGTGTTTAATGTATATCGTTATGTATCATCTTGTATTAAAGGATAAAACTTTAATAGGATGGTTCTTGGTTTGAGATGGATTATTTATCCATTTTCAAGGCCTTAGTAGAGGGAATTTGCTCGTGGGTTTAACCTACCGTTGTTTATATTTTATAGGTTTTTAGAAATTCTAGTCTCAAAGTTAAGGATTCACAGTTTGGAGACTTTTTATATCATCTACTCATTTTATTTATTCAAAGTAGGATATTTATTTATTATTATACTTTAGTTTATTTATCTATGGATTATTTGGATTTATGGGTTATATTTTTTCGGGTTCTTGGTTACGGGATTTTCGAGTTGTATTATGGAATTTAAAGATTTATGGATTTATAATTATAAGATGGGATTTATTATTTTCTAAAATTCCTTACAGCGTTTTATTTATTTTTATTTATTTCTCTTGTAATCCGTGCTTTTTATTATTAATTGTTTGATATCTCCTGGTTTTGAGTGTGGACTTGATCAACCAATGACTTGGAAATTATGGGGTATCACAATGAATCAAACTAAGATCTGCTATCATTGTTAGCGAAATGGAGTTCTTTAAAAATTAGAAGAAGGGTTTTCATCCATGGATCTTGAGTCATCTTTAGAAGTTTGTTTAATGCAAGAATAAGATAATGCTTATCACATAGAGTTAACAAACTTATAAAGAGGCTTGAGAAAACCTCACAAATCTCCACAAAAGTGATTGTTCTCAGTTATAAAAGCTTGATCTACAATCCTTAGATCTCATTCGATATTCCTTGTGTATGGTTTTTGCCTTTGAAGAATCACCAATATGCAACCATGAAAGACCTTAGATGCATAGCTTGTGAGAGCTCCTTGAAGATGAGTACTTTCCAACCCAAAATGTAAGGAGAGACAGTATTTTGTTTCACACTGTAATGGTACCCAAAAAGCTTACTAATGATACGTGGCATTCATGTATCGATATAGACAGAAGGAGTGGAAATAATAATACTCAATCTATACAAATAAAAGTGATAACTCCAATCCTTATTGGCCTCCAATATTAAGTTGGACTATTGGTGAGAATCATTTAGGCTTATTATTCTCTTGGCTCCAATGAATTAATAATTGTTGACCTTGTCCAACAACTATGAACCCATTCAATTAATTCATAAATTAAATTCTACTCAAATAAAAAATATAATTAACCTCCAATCAAATAGTAAATAACCATTAAGTCAATGTTGCACTTTAACCCCTTTATGCATAATTAGTTATCGGATAATTAAAGTCATCAATCTTACCGCACAATTAATATATTTATTTTAACTTTATTATTTCTCAGCTTGATCGCAATAAAATATTTGTTTGACAAAAATAATAATTTAGTAAATAAATACATAAAAACTATTTTGTTTAAAACACACGTAGGCCTTTGAATCTTTTTTGTGATCAGCTATAATTAATATAAAATAAATACAAGTAGCAACAATGCAAATATTAAAAATATAACCCTCTAACTATTAATTACGTAATTACCCAAAGTGCCGGTCATTGGATCCTGAATGCTCCACCAAACAAATTAAAGTAATTATTAATTAATAAAAGAATCTAAATGCCATGAAGATGATAGGGAGTAATTTCATATGATGGCTCTCGCTATATATATCAACTTATCGTGGATCCAATTCAAGTCTTAGTAAATTAAGAATTCATCCTTAATTACTGACTACAAACTATTTATGATTGCTATTTATATTTTTGTACTGATCGTAATCATATACATATAAATATCGCTTGTATTCAAGTGGATACATTCAATTCCATAATTAACTGAATTATAATACATTTACATTCACCAATTGTATAAAACATAAATAACATTTCAAATTAACGCAAGGAACATATGTCTCTACTATCGAAGTAAGAATTCGTTATGCAAGGGCATACAAACACAAAGATGGTATTGTTGGATATATAAATAAAAACTTTCTCATTGCCAACCTGTGAAGACTGGGATTCTTTTCCTTTTTTTTCTCCATTTTCTTTTTTCGTTCATTTTTGTGTTCAGGTCATGTGGGCCCAGGTCGGGTCACGTGTTCGAGAATAGTTCGCAACACTACTCATCCATTTCATTTGGGACATGTTTGTCTTACACATCATTCCATGGGGTGATTGCATCATTATCTTTTAGATATTTTCATTTTGGGGCTTTAGTGCAAGTTTGGAAGTCGGTGTGGTCCACTTTGAATTTTGGGGCAAAAGTTAGATATTTGCGTGTGATGAGAGAAGACATGCACTTTCATTTCTCTTCCTCTCTCTCATTTTTCTATCTTCTTCTCTATTTTTTTTCTTTTTGCTTCAACCTTTCAAGCTTGATTTCCTCCCTCTTCCATTGAGATTTTTGGATGGAAAAAGATTGTGGACGGCAAGGGCTTCAAATCCTTCTATAAGAGGAACAAACTCATATCACATAGTCATTGAATATCAACATTCTTCAAATACTTTTGATCAGGAATGGACCAAGACAATTATAGGGGGTGGGCAATAATGAATTTTTTTAGTAATTTCAGGAGGGCAATAGTAATATTCTATAGGCATTTAACTGAAGAAAACAAATTAACAAGGGTATATTCCAATATATATATATATATATATATTCAAAGGGGTAATTGCACCACTCATCTAACTATGGGTTTGTGCCTGCTTGTGATCATGTACTTATATTAAAATATTTTTTTTATTTCAGACATGTATCTAATACATTTTACAAATTTTGATCACATATTTTACACTTCTCATGTACTTTAAAACACATGTTTAACAAGTCTTTTATATTACTAAAGGTCAAGTGGCCCAGCGGTACCAAGTTCATACTTCTCAAAGGGAGGTCAAAGGTTTTGAGTCTTAGTGGGGGCAGTGTGTGTGAGTAATTGTTTTACCTTCCAAAAAAAAAAAAAAAAAAATGGACAATACTGGTTTACTCACTAGTGTGTTAACCATTCCTATTGACAGTTGATGTAGTCCAATCACAAATGCACACATAGTCAATGATTATAAAAATTAGGAAAGTGATAAATAAGAATAATAACTTTTTTTTTAGAATAAATTCAATCATTCACTCTGATTTTCTTATTTATCACTTTGCTTATTTTGCAATCATAGACTATATATGCATTCTCCTTCTTCCTGGCAAAAACGGTGGTTCTATATCATCTCTCTGTGGGATAATTGTGATTCTTCGTCCGATTGCATTAGCCTTGCTGCTTTTATTTGTTGGGCTTTATGGAAGTGTCATAATGATCTTCTGTTTAACAACCAGCTCTGGGATCCGTTTGCAGTTGTTCAACTTGCTGTTTGGAATTTCCATGAGTTCAAAGAGGTGAGCTTTCAGGATGCTCTCCTCTCTTTGTCTCCGGCCGCTATTCCTCCTTGGTCCTCCTCATGGATCCCCCCTTGTCTTGGTATTCTTAAGCTTAATTTTGATGCATCATTTAACAAAGTTTCCAAGTCTTGTGGAGGAGGCATAATTCTCAAAAATCATTTTGGGCAGCCAATTTGGGTTGCATTTGTCTTTTTTAGATTTGTTTGCAGTTCATCCGTGGCGGAAGCTCTTGTGCTTAAGGGGTCTCTCAAGCTTCTTAAGTGTTGGGGTTATTCTCAAGTTATTGTGGAAGGTGATTGTAAACCTGTTATGGATCTTTTTCCATCGAAAGAAGCCCTCTCTGTTATTTATGAAGATGTTTTTATCCTCCTTAAATCTTGTCTAGGTTCTTCCCTTGGTTGGACCCCTCGTTTAGGTAATGTTGTTGCTCACTTGGTGAGTAAATCGGCTTTGGAAGCCAGTTGTGGTGAATTCTAGTGAGCATATGGCTCCCGTGGTTGTTAAATGTTTTTTTTTCATATTATATATCTTCTCTGTTCTAATGTTATTTTTTTAGTTAAAAATAAAAAATAAAAAATGTGTGCATTTGTTATTGGGACTTGGATCTGCTTATCACTCAGTAAGTAATTATTGTGCGTACTTAAATATGGCTTTAGTGCCGTAATATAACTATTTAAAAAGAAAAAAATAGTATTGATATATAATGATAATATTTCATGACTAATTTTGTCCAAAACTGGATATTGCCCACATTGTACGCTTTTCCTATTCCTGTCCGTATTTTATATAAATGTCCATGCTTAACAGGGTAGTGGTCAATTATGACTGAGAATTTGGAGTCATGCAATCATATGAGTAATTTCATTCTGAGTAAAATCTAAAATGAAATAGTCGGCGCTTTGTTTGGGCATGTTAATTTGGTCATTGAGTGGTTTGGGAAATCATTGTCCACAGGCCTCCTTCCAAGTTCTTTTGTTTAGTGACTCGTCAGTTACCAAATTTGCCCCCTGTTTGCTTTCATTTGAATTTCCCTTTCTCACCAACCCTCCACCAAGTCCTAGTGGGTCCCATTCCACCAACCTCAGCAAAACAATAGGCGGGCCCCTTTCCTTGCTCTCCAAACTTTGACCTAAATCACCCACCCTCCCAGTCCCAAATCGCAATTCAATCATCTCTGTTGGCGCCCAACTTATCCGAACTTCTTCCAACAATTGTAGGTTGTTAGCCTAGATGTCTTTTTTTTCTTTGTCATATTGTAAATGGGTTAAAATTGATTAAGAATAAAAATATATAAAACTCTAAACCATCTATCATTTTCTCCCAAAATACTTTTTGATTTTTTATATTTTAATGTGTTCTTGTGCAATTAACTGGAGTGCAAAACACCCGAACTCATTACAAATATATATATATATATATATATATATATCTTCTTTCCCTCTCGTCACCTTTCATGACCTGGTGGCGGGTTATGATCGAGTGAAGCAGAAAAAAAAATAATAATAATAAGAATAATGATACGAATCAAAATAATTAAAATAAAATAGAAAGTCATTGTCAAACTTCTTGCTCTATAAATTCTCTTTGGACGTTGCATTGGAGAAGCTCTTTCTGCTGCAAGTGAGAAAGGGCCTGAACCAGTTGCTTAGTTACCCAAAATAAAAATTAAAATTAAAATTAAAAATTAAAAAAATAAAATAAAATAAAAAAAAAATAAAAAGAAAGAAGAGAAAGGACCTGAACTTCTGGTGTAAATTGATTTAGGGGAACCGATGAATTTTTTGAAGAATGCATGTGGGAGTGTAAAAACATTAAACCACATTCTTTGTTCATAAATTGAGAAAAAAAAGAGGGCATAAAATTTATTTAGTGAATCATATCATTAAATGTCAGAATTTAATTAGTTTGTGACATCAACCTCTTCAAAATAACTTAAAAATAACATGAGCATTAAAGTATTTCTGGATTTTGGGAATGAGAAGTTATTACTTGTGAAAGAGTTTTACCTTTACCAATGTATAAAATGGTATTAAGCGATTTGCAGGGTTATTTTTATTATTAAAAGTATAAATAGTTTCAATATTTTACTATTTCATTACATTAATTTATTTAATACTACGTAATATAGTATTAGAAAATACTAATAATAATAATAATAATATAGTAGTGGAAAAATACTAAAATTCAATAAATAAAAAAATCTAATTAGAGAAGGAAATATATAATATTAAAAAATTTATTTATTTAATTCAATAAAACGAAATCTAATTAGAGAAGAAAATACTAATAATAATATAGTAATATGAAATACTTAAATTCAATAAAGAGAGTAGGAAATACTAATAATAATATAGCAGTAGGAAATATTGAAATTCAATGAAAGGAAATCTAATTAGAGAAAAAAAATATCATATTAAAAAATTAAACTGTTGAAATTTAATAAAAAGAAATAAATAAATAATATTTAAAAAAATTAAACTACTGAAATTCAATAAATGGAGTTTCAGTATGTCAACGTCTCTGTTCATTAATTTCTTTAATAATAAAATAGTAATAAATACTAATAATAAATAAATAGAAGTAGGACATATTGAAATTCAATAAAATAAAACGTAATTAGAGGAGGAAAAATATAATATTTAAAAATTAAACTACTAAAATTCAATAAAAGAAAATATAATTAAAGAAAGATATATATAATACTAAAATTTATTTATTTAATTCAATAAAAAGAAATCTAATTAGAGAGGATATACTAATAATAATGATAATATAGTAGTAGGAGATACTGAAATTCAATAAATGAAAATCTAACTAGAAAAGGAAATATATAATATTTAAAAAATTAAACTTATTTATTTATTCCTTTTTATCATAATTGTATTCTGTGTTCGTTTATTGTTAATTGGTTCGATATCCTCAGGTAATCGGGCGTGGGCCTGGCCAACCCGCATCCTGAAAATATGGGGGTATCACAGATCGTCCCAAGGGAAAAGCAAGGTACTTCGGAATCAATGTTGGATTAGTTTGTCGGATGATCAAAAGAGGGGTTTGTTGGTTGAGTTATATTACAATTTAAGCTAAAATAATGCAATGTAAAACAACTAAACAAATGAGGTGTAAAGAATGAGAGAGGATTCTTAGGACATAGAGTTCACCACTAAGCCTTGCCTTCTTAGACATTCAATATTTGATAAATTAAAGGGATTATATGTTGTAAATAAAGTGCGTGCCATTAATTGAAATATTAAATTTAGATAGTCAAGTAAGCATACATTGTTTAATCAATCTACTGAATAGCACAACATATCAAATTAAGTCATTAATCCTTCCATAAGCCCACGATTAATGCACACTCAAGAATTTAGAGGAAATATACTACGTGTATTCATAAGTATGGAACATCAAACAATAAGAATAGATTGTCCACCTATCTAGAAAATTAAAGCAATTACACTACAACTATGCTAATGACATGAAAATTAAACTAATTAAACTAAGGAGGTGGCACAATCCATTAAGAAATAAATATGAACCATCAAATAAACCACAAGAGTAATCAATTAAGCACCATGCCTTGACCATCACTAGATTCATAATATCAACACACATAAACATGCATCAACATCACAAAATCTAGAGAAAAACACATGAACATTCATTCTAGCATACATAGACATATGGATACAATTAAATGATCAATTGGAAGCATTAAACTACACAAATCATATAGAAACAATATTTATATAAATATGAGGTCAAAACAAGAATTACAACACAAATCCCCATTAATTACAAAACATCAAAGTCTAGGAGGCATGCTTATGGTTATTTTAGCCCCAAGAGAATAGTTTAGCCACTCATTAATGTTGTCATCCAACCCTTAAGGGCTCTCTTTATGGTTGAAATCATTCTCCTCCCTTGGTGTTCTTGGTAAAAACCCTAGAAGAGTGGAAGAACTTTCCCAAAATATATGTTTCTCTCTCTAATATCTAACCAATTCTCTCTCTAACTAACCAACCTCCTACTAAAAATGGCCAAATTCCTTATATATGTAGCTCAAATGTCACACCCAATGGTCAAACCTCATGCACTAGGACCTCCAAATGATTGCACCATGAGCACACCTTCAATTCGACTTGAAATCTATTTTGCACGCAATTTGAGGCAATTCGATCGATCACACTGTTGCTCTGATCGATCGAAATATGGTGGCGTAATTATTTGGATAAGGATAAAGGCTAAGATATTTTTGGGAGAAGGACAAAAATGGTTGGTGAGGATAAGATCAAAAGGTTTGATCGATCGAATAAAAGGTTGGATCGATCGAATAGGAAATTTTCCTAAGGATAAGGACAAATGGTTCGATCCATCATGGCAAGGTTAGGACGATCACAATGTGATCGATCATAACTTGGTTCGATCAACCGAAGAGGAATTTTTCACCACTTTGCTCCTTTCTTCCACTTAACTTTAGATTGCTTCTTTCAATGCTCTGATTTAGCTGATTTAACTTATTTTGGGGATAAGTGCTGGAAAAAGATAATAACATGAAATTAGATTAAAACGGGAAAATAAGATAGAATAAGGTCCTAAAACATTTAAGATTAAAGGGTTTAAATGCGCACTTTTCAGCGCTTATCACACCCCCAAACTTAAATATTACTAATCCCTAGCAATAAACTACGAAGAAAAACAAGCAACCAACAACTATGCAAGAATGAACTAGAAAGCAATAAAAAGATAACACCACTTTCGTAGGGAATACGATTGCATTTAGCACATGCAATAAGTCTTTTAAACCCCTAGTGAACGAGTGAAGTCTCGTGAGGGTTTCCAAGAATGATACCCACAAACATTAAGCTCTTTCTCACTAAAGAGGCACCAATATTCCAAACAAGCATTAGGAGAAAACTACCTTAAGAATGCAATTTTTCAACCATTTCCAAGCAATCTCCTAAAATTTCAACATCAAGCAAGCAAGTATGGTCCTCCACACATCAAGACAATGATCATGCAAATCAAAACAACTCTAGAATCCTTTTTAAATGAACCGGTATCAAATATGTTGCTATCTAAACCAATCAAAGAAATGATCACATCCGGTCTCAAGCTAGCACACAAATCTAGTACCGATCATCAAGATAAAGAAATGACCTTTTATTAAAGCTTTATTTAACTAGATGCACTTATTCTATTCACTCGATTTTTTATTTATTTATTTATTTTTAACTAACCAAAAGGATCAAAGATGGAAACATGGTACAATGTGTTAATCTATTAAGCTTTCTAGCGATCTATGAGGTTGAGCGTTAGGTCAATGACTCCCAAACCGAACGGCTTCAGGGCATTAGGTGTTAAAACACCCTTAAGGACTTACAAGCTCAAATCAACTAGGCTATAAATTAAAGCAACCTCCATGTAATCGTTTCCCACATCTCACATTTTGGGAGAAGTCCTCACTTTTTTATTTGCTT